ATATATATTTATAAATTGATACTGTATATCATATTAAAATCAGACTAGAATTTAAATAATAAATTGATGATAACTTTAAGTTTAACTTTGATAATAATAAAATTCTATTAGTATTCCCCTTCAATTATGCATATGCGTATTAATAGAATGTTAATTTAATAATTTATAATCTCTTATTTGTCTAAGTTTTATCTGTTAATTAGGCATATTTATTCATAAGAAAATTACTTAATAAGTCAACACAATTAAAGTTTTATTCAATAAATTTTAAAATTATTATAGTACTTAAAAATGTATTTTGATTCTTATTTAGTTTTTCATAATTAGAGAATAATTTCAAATACCCCATGAAACTTGTATATCTTAAATTTAATATGTTTGATTTAAATTTAATATTTTGTTATAATTTCAATTAATATACTGTTTTTCTCCTTTTACATAAATGTATTTAAAAATAAAATAATATAAATTAAAGAATCAATAATCTACCTTTGTTTTAAGTAGATTGCCATAATATATTAGTCTGATCATTAATTAAATTTAATTAAATGATCTTAAATTGTTACACACAAAATATAATCAATACATAATTTATATACCTAATCATTTAGATTCTATCTATTATATAAAGCTGTTAAACTTTAAATTTTAGAAGTAATTTAGAATTAATTAATGCGTAATTAACCGAATCTAATATAAATCAAAATACATTTCTAATTAAAGTTTGTTATTTTATTTTCATCGTCTTTAACAGTTTTGAGACCATTTGAAAAATTTAGGACTTATAATGTCTATTTAAGTTAAAAGTTAAAATAGTTAAATTTTACTAGTTGGGGGGAATAAAAAGTGTGAAAAATTTTCGTCAAGTTTTTAAAAACTTAATTTAATTTTTTATTATTAATTTTTAGAACCTATTAATTACAGTTGAGATATATATATTTATTATTTCAAAATTACTATTTAATTGTTAATCAAATATGAACTAACCTTTGATCATATGTTTGAATAATATACAATTTATTCTAAAATTAATCCTTAATCTGTAGCTGCTTATAATATTCTATAAAGTTAAGAAATTGTCTTTAAATCACTTAATAAGAAACTTTTATATTCATTTATAATTATTTTTTTATAATTAATCTGGATGATAAAGCGTAGTAAGATAGATTATAATACAGTTTCATTTTCTTCTTATGATGCAAAATTTTTATATTTACTCATATTTTTATAAGTTGTAAATTAAATAAATATGAACCTGATTACCAAGACGTTATTTATATACTAAAAAATTTATATTTATTTAGATATTTTCTATTAATACATTCATTTACTCCAAATCTAATAATAGAAAAATATTCATTTATATTTCAGTTATCAAATGAGACATATATCAATCAAAATAAATTTTCAGAATTTTCATTCTTTAACTTATATATCTCGTATTAATTGATGTTAAGTCAGCGAATCGATCAATACTTATTAAGGGCTCTAAAATCGATTTACAATAGATATTACTAAAGTAAAGTTATAATTGTTAATAATTATTCGCTATTAAAATTTTTTTCTTACTTCTGTTACAGATATAGGTATTTCTGCTTAATAAATGCTGGTTTTGATTTCGAAATCATAGTGACTACTTCTATTACGAAAAAATAAAGCCCAAAGATTCCATTAATAATTGATGTGATTAACCCGAGTCTTTAAGAATATTTATTCAGATGAGTATTTTTAAATTTGGCAATTTGCCAAATATATCAAAGTGATAAAGCATTTATATTTTCAGGTTTTAAAGCATAAAACATATTTATTTATGAAAAATAAAAAAATATTAGTTATAAATATTTGAAAAAGATAAAAATCAAAAATCAAATGATTTTAAAATCAAGTATAATAACCACTATTTATAAAATTAGGAGAAATTTAAACTTAATTCTATAACATTAGACATTCTCTGATACATCTTTTTTAATTTATTTTTAAAGAAGAAAAAAAGTAATTTATATTTTCTGAAAGCATAGATAATAAAAACCTAATTTTAAATAAGTTATTATTTTATATTACTGCTAAATATGTGTTACAATTTTACAGGTAATTAAATCTTTAATGTTTTATTAATAGCATAAATTACATAATTTAAAGAAATGAAGTTTCTCCCCGAAATTATACCAGAGTTTCTTGAAAAAAGATATCTTACTTTTAATATTTATTTAGTCTTAGCTCTTTTCTAATTATTCCTTACTTTTCTTTTGATATTATATGAATTTGCCTTTATAGTGTTCTAAAAGATCTTTTTTAGGAAAAAAAGGAAAGTTCCTTTCTTATTACTATTATCTTTTCTTTTGCATTATTTCAATTAATTGTTAAAATAAAATGAGCAATTTAGGAGTAATATACTTAACTCAAATATCCATCTCATTTTTCCAAACAATATATTTTATCTATCACTCAAATCAATCCAATGAATTTATTAAAATTATTTCTGAGGCTATTTCGCTATAGTTATTTAAAACTATTAATAAATATCTCCTTGATCATATCCTCTTTCATTTTCAATTCCATCCAATAAGAAATTTACTAGGCTATTTATTATTTTTCATTTCTATAATTAATCAATCTCAAATAGTTCTACCATACAATCATTTTTAACAATAAATCATGACTTACAAAAAACTTTAAGGTATTTCTTAAGTACTATTCCACCTTCTTTGTATAATGCCAAAATCTAGTTGGCTTTTCCTCCGTCTCTTTCTTATGATTATTTTGATAGAATTCTTTTTTTATCTTAATTTGCCTTGATCAATAATTTATTATATCAATGAATGCGTTTTTCTTCTATTATTAGAACCTGTTAATTTCTTGGCTTTATTTCCCAAAAGCAATTTTATTTTCATTTTTTTTTAAGTTTAATATCAGTTTAGCTCCAAATTTCAAATATCTTATCAATTAAATATATTGAATCTTGTTAAACGAACTTTCATGAACGTATAATTTTTTTATTTCAATGAATTGTTGATGAATTTTATTTCCTTATTTTAGTCAGTCTTTAGAGTAATTTACACCTTCCTAAATTTGATTTCAAATATTAAAATAATTTAAATAGCAGTTACAAGAAAATCAATTGCTGATGAATTTTTGAATTAGTAGTGAATTATAAATTCAAAGCTGGCTATGAGATTGTGAAACCATAACCTAATAAGCATAATTATCTTCAGAAGATGAAAAAATAGTTTGATAAATGATGATTATATTAAACAAAACATTAAGTTTGATAAAACGATTTTTAGAGAAAATACTTATGCAAGTGTATAAAAATAAGGTGATAAGAAATAAATGACACTTAAATAATGCAATTATTGAAATATCATATAGATTAAATTTTCAAATGCAGATTTATAATTCAACATAAAATTTTAATTAAATTATATTATATCAAATGTAATTGAAATAACTTTAAATATAAAACATTTGGAATTTACAATGATTAAAGACTGGTTAAAAAAGATTAGATTAAGAAGATGAGAATAAGTGTGTAATTTTAATTGCTATTCAAATTGATTTTATTTATAATTTAGATTTCTTCGTTTAAATAAAGTATTATGAAACAAAGCATCAATAAGTATAAAAAAATAGACGAATTTAAGTAAAGTTTTGAGATAAATATATATGAAAAAATATATACAAAGAAATTTGTTATTCTGATGTAATCAAAAAGTCTATAGAATATATTGTATTCTTAATAAAATCTTATGCAATAGTTACAGTATTATTTTTCAATAGCAATTAGTTCACTTCTTTCCACATTGTTGCAATCATTAATATTCATTTTTCTTTAAAAATAACTCAATAGATATCATCTCTAAAGGCAGTCCAAGTTGCACAAATTTTTTACATAATTAGCATTTATTTTCGATATCTATTTATAATAATCTAAGTAACCAATTTCAGCGTTAATTATTTGTTTAAAAATAAGCAGGTTTGCATTTCTTTTTCAAAATACAATTAACTCATAACTTTAGTTCAAAGTTTAATTTAAATCTACAGATATTTGTTTATAGCTAATCTTTTTTAATTATTTCTATTTGATTTTAGAAGTAATCTTAATTGAATTCAAAAATTTAGGCATCTTCAATATAAATAAAATTTTAAGCAAATTCATATGGTAATGTAATCCAATTAAATATAGCAAGGAGGAATGATTGTATGTGTTGATTCTCAAAAATTTGTAAACAATAAATATCTTACGAATCCTTTCATATAAGAATTATCATATATTAAAAATTGTCTCTTTATTTACTAATATGAATAATGAATTTATTCAATCTAATTTAGCTTCCAATAAACGGATAAACTTATCCTAATGCTAAATTATTGCCATCAGTAGAGAAACAAACTGAGCTTACCCAATCATATGACCATGTTGAATATTTTTTTTTTATCCTGTCTTAACATTTCTGAATAAAACAATAAAATAGCTACCTCATGCGAAAGTTTTTCCATCAGGAGAGAAACAGATTGACATTAATTACTATGATCATGTAATTTATTTTTTTATTAGTCTTAAAATTCGATAAACAGATAGTCTTATCCCAAATACCAGATGCTAAGTATTACCATCGGGAGAGAAACAGATTTAGTTTACAACTACTATGACCCTCGAATTATATGATCTATTATTTTTAATATTGAATTTCTATGACTTGATTTTAAGCTTTATACTTCAAATGAAGAAAGTATCATATGTATTAATTTTAAGATATTCAAAAAACAATAAATATCAAAGAACTTTTGGATAACTTGATTCTATAAAAAAATAGAATAATTATATCAACTTATTGTAAAAAAGCGGGATTATTTATCACTAATTAATGTATTATTAAGCCTGCTAATTAGAGTAATGAACAAGTTAGAGGTCTTAATAAGAAGGAAAAAGATGGAAGAAAAGAATAGCATTTCAATAAAAATATATAGTTTGCAAACTAACTATAGAAACTAGACAATTTTTCAAGGAGAGATTTTAAACAATGTTTCAATATCCGAATTTATTCATTTCATAATAATTATGAAACTTCTAAAGCCAATTGTTTTTTCATAATCCTAATGTTTCTCCTCAATTACTAAGAATTTTTTCTTTTTAAAATTTTTTATATAATGAATTCAAATCAATATCTATCAGAAAAACAAATCAATTTGTTTTAAATAAAAACCAAATTAATTCTTATCTAAAATAAAACAATCTAATTGTTAATTTTCAAACAATACAAATAATTTATTACATATTAACTTATAATTAAAAAATAAAACAATATAATATAACTTAAATTAAAAAAATACAACTATTTGTTAATTTATTACATAATACGTTATAATTTTTTTAAAATTAATATGATTCTAAATTATATAGTTTATCATTTTCTAATTATAAATTTTTAGCTTTAAAATAAAATAATATAATAGTTTAATCTATGTTTCAAAATCATAACTAAACCTAAAAAAAGCCTGAATTCAAAAAAATATCAAAAGGTTGGATTACAAATTAATATCAAGACCTTCAAGTAAACCAACAATACCTTGAGTATATTACTAACTTATAATCAAATTTCTTTTTGATATGTGGTCATACTTCTTGAAATAAATCTTAAATAATCTTAACAAACAATCACACTATTAACAATGTGATAATTTTAATTATACATATAAAAAAAATTAATCCTCTTTTATAATTAATTAATTTAATATCTTTTATATGATATAACTTTCTATAAAATTATTGCAAGATAACTTGATAATCTTTAAGTTAAAGAATGTACAGTAAATTCCACTGTGACTTAAGGAAAATATGATTAGAATATAGTAATTTCAAAGTTGGGTATCAAGGTCAAAACCTTTGACGACTATTCTATCTTTCAAATAACTTCAAAAATACTTGGATCTAAAATAAACTAAAAGGGTATTAAGGGTCAATTTATTTTAGTGGGTATAATGAATTATTGAATATTGAAGGAATATAAAGGTAATTTCATTTTTAATTAATAGTAATTGTCTTTAAATCATTAATCATCAGTCTTTTTATTTACTTTTATCTCTTATTTTAACTTCTCATAAAAGTTCCTAATTATTTTAAACAATCCTTGAATCAAACCTTAACAGAGTTAAACCTCAAAATCAAATATTGCTAGTAAACGGCATTAATAAAGTATTCCAGAATTAAAGAAAAAAGATCATATTGTGGTTTCATAATATAATAACGTGTTTTTAACTAAAAAAACATACTGAAGCGAATAAAAATGAATACTCGATAATTGCCTAAATAGGAAGAAGAGAAGCAAACTTCTTATTAACCATTATAAATGCATGATCACAGAATAATTGAAGAAAAGGTAGCTTATATAGATTAAAGTGAATTAAATAGAAATGGGAACCAAATCATAATCTAATAGAAAAATCATAAGCAGATAAACAAGATTAGATAAGAAACTACAATAAATATATTACAATTAGGATTAATTTTAATTATCAGTAAATCAGTATTAAGAAAAATAATTATCTCAATAAAGATCCTATTTAAAATTAATAAACTTTTTATTAAATTCATCTAAACCTCAACCTCCCTTTCTTTCTTTGATTTTATCTTTTTCTAATATTTTTATATTCTCTATATTAACAATACACATTTTTATGATAAATCCTAGGATGAGGCATAATTATTTTAAACGCAATTAATGATGGATAATAAAATTTCTTGTTCTTATTTTTTTTGATAATCTCTTTAGAAGCTTCAACTATCTTTTACAATTGCATTATCAAATATATATCTTAGAAACTTATTGTCTCTAATTAATGATTTCTGATTGTTTGATTTTATACTCTAATTCTTAGATTTTCCTCTCTTATTCTTTTTTTTACTTTTTCTCTTGATAGTAGTATGGTAAGGTATTTAATAACTATCATCTTTAAAATTTTTACTCATCATTCTAATTGTACAAAATTATTTTAATTTGTAACTTAATTATATTCACACATAAATATACTTCATATATACCTTTTTATATAAATTTATA